TGTTGGTTTTCTGTTCTTGTGATAGTGTGGTAAAGAATGATGGTTTCCAGCGGCATCCAGTGTCCCCTACACAGAGGACAAACTCATTGCCTTTTTTTATGGCGGGGGGGGTAGTGAGTCGCATGGGGCGGTGTACTATGGCTTTCCAGGCCAACAGACACATGAAAAAATGTCATTCATCAACTGGCCAGCCCCTTCAGAGGAAATGCAAATCCAAACGCACAGATGAGATACCCAGTCTCGCACACCAGTGTAGAATGGGCGATCAGTTAAAAAGCAGGGAAACAACAGTGTGGAGGAGGATGGTAGAAATAGGACACTGTTGTGACACTGTGGGGGGAGTGAAACTAGTTCAAGCGGAGGGTATGGAAAGAGAGCAGTTAGCGGAGTGCCTTCAAGGATCGTGAGAGACTAGGAGGTGTAGCCATTATGGACGCCAGCCATCGGCCAGGTACGTGGGTATGAGTACGCCAGAAGGATGTTAAATCATGGCTGCTTATAGAAGACACGATGCCACACGTATGTTTATTGCGGCACTATTCGAGCAATAGCAAAGACGTGGGAATCAAGCCCCAAATGTCCATCAGTGAGCAGACTGACGTGGAAAAGTTCAGCTGTTATAAAGACACATGCACAGTGTGATGTTTAGGTGGCGGGGCAGTACGGAGCAGAGAGGCAGAGAGACTTGGAAGCGAACCAAGATGGCGCATCGGGGAGCGAGATGATTAAGAAAAGTTGGGCACATGGTATAACACCATGGGAGAACGGAGCCATTTGAAAAAGAGAGATGGAAGTTCATGCCTTTGTAGGGGCAGGATGCAGCTGGAAACCGTCGATTCGTCGCAGCAGGGACTATGCGAAGAACGAAACCAAACAGCCACATGTTCGCGCGAGGGCGCCTATATGTGTGCGAAGGAACAATGAGAGGCGAGCTGGACTCAGAATGGGGGACAAGCATTCACACCACTGGGTGGGCGCTACTACTGTAGGGAGGGGGTGAAGGAGGATAGGCGAGAGTGAGCCGGTAAGGTAAAGTGATTGCAGCTTGAAGGGTGCAGCACACCAACATGGCACATGTATACATATGTAACAAACCTGCAGGTTGTACACATGTACCCTAGAACTTAAAAGTATAATAATAATAATAATAAAAAAATAAAGCATATACACAGAGAGCACTTCATGATAATACAAACAAAAGCAACACATGAGGTATTGATTGTGTAATTATGTAGCACACAGCATAATTATGGGTCCTTAATAAATACTGGATGATGGTTACAATTATTGTCAACTTAATAAATATTGTCTGAAATAAGAAAAAAAACAATGTTGGTGTTTAAATGGCTATAATTACATTTCTAGGCTAACACTGCTATTAAGTTGAATATGGAAAGCTTTTGCTTCTGTGTTGCTGTTCCATACGTGGGTCTGAGATCTCCAAAAGGCCAGATGAATGAGCCTTTCATTAAAAAAAAAAAAAAATTCTTCTTGACTGTAGAGATAATAGCTCTAGTAAGGAAAGTAAACTATATTCTGGAGAAATCAGCAGAAATTCATAGGCTCTTAAGTCTTCTGGAGCCAACTAATTTCAGTTGGTTTAGGATGAACAATTTTATTGAACTGCAATAAATTTGAATTTCTTCTAAATCCTTAAGTTTGGAAGGATAATCTATTCTTATTTTAATATTGGAAAGAAAGAATAAGCAATCAGGTCTAACCCTATCTAAGAGTGTTAGAATAGAATGAAGGTGTCTATGTTTGCTGTGTTCCCTCTGAAAGGTATAAAGATGAGAGATGATTGCTGGTGACTCACCATTCTATTTCATCTAGAGACCTGAGTGCTCTCACTGCTCTATTCCCTTAGGAGGTCATGTTCCTCTGCTTAAACGAATATTGCCTGCTCTCTGAGCTAATGATTTGTTTGGAGGATGGAAGTCTCAGAGGTGAAGATAACTGCACAGCTTTTAAAATGTATCTTTCTGATCTTTGATCTGTTTTTTTCTGAATACATAGGGCCCTTCAATGGCAAGATTAAAGACGCCTTTTCTTAGAAGAGAGGCAAAAGCTGAAAACTTAAAAGCTGCTCAGATTTCCAAATAATATTTTTGTATTTTTTCATTTTGTTGACATCATATTGGGTGAGTGTCATCCTTCATTCATGTGATAATTGGATAGTAATCAAAATGCAGTGTTGGATCACAGGTTTTCCAAGAAGATGGGGAAACTATGCATTTTGTTTAAAAAGTAGTTAATGCAAACTAGTTTATGATTAGGGCATACATAACTCATTTTGAATTCCATTTAATTCAACAAATATTTACTTGGTACCTAGTAGATGCCAAACATCGTGTCTTCTTTTGTAGGGAATATCAAGAACAAGGACCTGTTTTCAAGAGACTTATACCCTTAATCAGGCAGTTAAGGGGATTACAGAAATGGCCGTCGTAGGATGCAGAATATGCCAAATGAAAAGTACGTGGAGAGAAATGAATGACATTCAATGCGGGACAGAGAAGAGACCACATTTAAATGAGAGGGCATCATGGAAGCGTTCAGCATCTGAGAATGACTTAGCAAAATGGCAAGATTTTCCTGGATGGGGCTAGAACTGAAAGTAGGTGATAGTAAAGCCTTTGATGTGCAGAGGGCAGGGGGAGTGGCATAAGGCAGGGGAGGGAAGTGGTCAGAAAAGGTTGAGAAGCTTGTATTTAATGAGCAGGCAGTGGGGAGCCAAGGAAGATTTTTAAGCAGAATAGAGATAGTGTTAAGAGTTGTGGTTCAAGAAATATTTCTGAAGCATTTTAAAGCAGAATTTCCTGTCTTTTGAACTAAAAAATATGTCTATGTAAACGAATGTGTTTGATAATATCCTACAGGCTTTATTTCCAAATAGAATGGCTACCTCTGAAAATGTTAAACCATGACAGTAGTATGAGAATTAATTTCTCACTTATACTTGGATCCAAAAGGTTTTTATTTTTCAGTTTTATAATGTTGTGGCTCATCCATGCATATATTTCTAATGTAGATGAAATAAATCAGCAAATGATTGTTTTATTTTATAGCATTCTGAACAACTTAATCTGCCCCCTCTACCAGGCGAATAGCTGTTTTTTAATGTCTGAATAATATTTTGATATGCTTTTGTTTTGCTCCTAAGTCCTGTTGGGGGAAAAAAAAATGTGACCTTACAAAAGCATGGAAATAAAACATAAAATGTATAGAAAAATACATAGTCTTACAGAATAAAGAAAAACAAAAAAGCCAGGTGTGGTGGCCTACGCCTGTAATCCCAGCACTTTTGGAGGCTTAGGCAGGTAGACCACCCAGTCAGGAGATCGACACCATCCTGGCTAATACTGTGAAACCCCGTCTCTACTAAAAATACAAAAAAAAATTAGCCGGGCATCATGGTGGGCGCCTGTGGTCCCAGGTGCTCAGGAGGCTGAGGCGGGAGGATGGTGTGAACCTGGGAGGCAGAGCTTGCAGTGAGCCGAGATCGTGCCACTGCACTCCAGCCTGGACGACACAGCAGGACTCCGTCTCAAAAAAAAAAAAAAAGATTTTTTTAAAGCGAAAATCAGGATGGCCTCGAATGGACATAGGTCTGATCAGAAGATACTTTTTTCAGGAGTATTTTTTTTTTCATAATTACCATTGTGATGGTCGGAGTTTATCCAAAATAAATCTGAAAATGCGAGTAGTTTTATTTATCTTCTACTAAACCTTCATCAGAATAAGTAATCTAATATGGGTCATGTTTCCTCTGGGTTATTTTCTGCCATTCTGGGCAGAAAATATGAGAACCTGAAGGATACATAACTCAAAACTACAGAACTCTCAAATACATGATGACAAGACAGCATGCTGAAGTAAGCACAATATGACCTGAAAGCAGTCAGTTAATAATGGACTGTAAATATTTTGGAAGTGTTTGAACACACTGAAACTCAAGAAGCTGCCAATTTTTTGAAGACTTCATCTTGTTTTCTCTTACTATGGATGTATTTGGAAGATCTTTCCTTATTTTATAAGTAGAGGATGGTGCGTTGTTAAGTAATATTCTACTGACCTAAAAAAGTCAACAAAACTCATGTGTGCTTAATTTGCTATTATTTACAATTTATTCTATGGAGGAAATAAATACCAAAATAGATTGTTGTTTCATCTAAATGACCACAGGGGAAAACAAAGAGTTCAAATCAAATAGAAGATACTTCTTCACATTACAAAAGGTTTGCCTTATGATTCCATTTGAGTTATGCCAAAATATTTTACTTTAAAAAGTTTGATTTGCACACAAATAAAAGAAACTCTAAAGTCTGTCATAGGCAGTATTTTTTTAATTTAATTTTGTTTTGTTTTTTAAAATATCTCATTCTAAAGTTCTTAACTGGGGACTTGAGCCAAACCTAGTTGGCACATAATAGTGACCCCTGCATCCCTTCTAGTTGTTGGTTTTTAACTGACTATTTTGAATAGAATTCTTCATAAGAAAAAGTATGTAGGAAAAAAGTAGAATTGAGAAAGATTACTACCAGGTATTTTCTAAATTAATATTCAAACTCAAACTGATAAAAGTACTCATCAGTAAAGTAAGCAGATAAAGCAAATTAGCATTCATCAACAGTCACTCTTTTCAGTAAGGTATAACACAGAGCATGCTAAAAAAGCATAAGCTTATTTCACATTCCTATGCCTCATCAGTACATATTGTTGACTAAGATAACTGATGAGAAAAAAAAACACAGCATGAGAATGGTGATTTATCAGGTACACCACATTATTACCACTATTTTATGCTTCTCTTAAACATCAAAGGTATAATTTAGCAACAAGCATATCCAACCTTCATGTAGTAATAGATCCATAAAATTAAAATTAAAATTACCAATCAAATTAAAATCACCAACACTTGAGTGAACCTTTCCAATGAAAGTGAATTAATCACTGAGAATGATATGGAAACTAAAGTGTTCTAAAAACCAATGCCTTACCAGTAACTGGATCAGGTTCAATGTCACCTCTGCTCTCCTTCCATGACAGCAGGTAGTTGAGGCTGGTGAGATCTGCAGACTCTATATAGTTGTTCACTGTAAGCATCATCTGATGAGCTTTTGCTATTCCATAGTGAACTTTTGTCTCATCCATCAGAGGCATGCTCATTAGCTCTACTGTTGTGTCAAAAGCTTGCTGAAAGCGTTGAGAAGCTTTGTTGTAGTGTCCCTAAAAAGGTAAGAGAAAGAATTTTCTTTCTTACTTTTAATTTCACCATTTCACATATTTTCCGACCTTACCCTGGCATGTCCCACACTGACCTTTCGACAGTTATAGCAGTTCATCTTCAAGAAGAAACAGATGGCAAGCAGGCTATTAGGATAAGGTTCTCTTAAAGAGCTGTGATTACTCACCATTCAATATCTTGAAATTAACTTAGTAGGAAAGTTCTATCTATTAGACTAAGCTATATAAGACTTAAGTTCTGCAATGTCTGGCAAGATGGCCGAATAGGAACAGCTCTGGTCTGTAGCATCCAGTGAGCTCAGCACAGAAGGTGGGTGATTTCTGCATTTTCAACTGAAGTAACCGGCTCATCTCTTTGGGAAGGGTTAGACAGTGGGTGAAGCCCACAGAGAGCAAGCCAAAACAGGGTGGGGCACTGCTTCACCTGGGAAGTGCAAGGGTTGGGGAATTTCCTCGCCTAGCCAAGGGAAGCCACAAGGGACTGTGCTGTGAGGAATGGTGCTCTCTGGCCCAGATATTATGCTTTTCCCATGGTCTTCACAACCCACAGACCAGGAGATTCCCTCCGGTGCCTATGCCACCAGGGCCCTGGGTTTCAAGTGCAAAACAGGGTGGCCATTTGGGTAGACACCAAGCAGGAGTTCTTTTTTCACACCCCAGTGCTGCCTGCAATGCAAGCAAGACAGAACCATTCACTACCCTGGAAAGGAGGCTGAAGCCAGGGAGCCAAGTGGTCTAGCTCAGCGAATCCCACCCACACGGAGCCAACCAAGCTAAGATCCACTAGCGTGAAATTCTCGCTGCCAGCACAGCAGTCTGAAGTCAACCTGGGATGCTCCAGCTTGGTGGGGGCGGGGGATCCACCATTACCGAGTCTTGAGTAGGCGGTTTTCCCCTCCCAATGTAAACAAAGCCTCTGGGAAGTTCCAACTGGGTGGAGCACACTGCAGCTCCCCAAAGCCCCTGCAGCCAAACTGCCTCTCTAGATTCCTCCTCTCTGGGCAGGGCATCTCTGAAAGAAAGGCAGCAGCCCCAGTCATGGGCTTATAGATAAAACTCCCATGTCCCTGGGACACAGCACCTGGGAGAAGGGACGGCTGTGGGCACAGCTTCAGCAGACTTAAATATTTCTGGCTGCTGGCCCTGAAGAGAGCAGCAGATCTGCCAGCAGAGTGCTCCAGCTCTGCTAAGAGACAGACTGCCTCCTCAAGTGGGTCCCTGACCCCCGTGCCTCCTGACTGAGAGACATCTCCCAGCAGGAGTTGACAGACACCTCATACAGGAGAGCTCCAGCTGGCATCTGGAGGATGACCCTCCATGACAAAGCTTCCAAAGGAAGGAACAGGCAAAAATCTTTGCTGTTCTGCAACCTCCGCTGGTGATACCCAGGCAAACAGGGTCTGGAGTGCACCTCCAGCAAACTCCAGCAGACCTGCAGGAGAGGGGCCTGTTAGAAGGAAAACTAACAAACGTAAAGGAATAGCATCAACATCAACAAAAAGGATGTCCACACAGAAATGCCATCCGAAGGTCACCAACATCAAAGACCAAAGGTAGATAAACCCACGAAGATAAGAAAAAACCAGCACAAAAAGGCTGAAAATTCCAAAATCCAGAATGCCTCTTCTTCTCCAAAGGATCATAACTCCTCACCAGCAAGGGAACAAAACTTGATGGAAAATGAGTTTGACGAATTGACAGAAGTAGGTTTCGGAAAACGGGTAATAAAAAAACTCCTCTGAGCTAGAGGACCATGTTCTAATCCAATGCAAGGAAGCTAAGAACCTTGACAAAACGTTAGACGAATTGCTATCTAAAATAGCCAGTTTAGAGAAGAATATAAATGACCTGATGGAACTGAAAAACACAGCACGAGAATTTCGTGAAGCATACAAAAGTATCAATAGCTGAATTGATCAAGCAGAAGAAAGGATATCAGAGATTGAAGATCAACTTAATGAAATAAAGTGTGAAGATAAGATTAGAGAAAAAAGAAGAAAAAGAATGAAAGAAGCCTGCAAGAAATATGGGACTATGTGAAAAGACCAAATCTACATTTGATTGGTGTACCTGAAAGTGACAGAGAGAATGGACCCAAGTTAGAAAACGCTTTAGGATACTATACAGGAGCACTTCCCAACCTAGCAAGACAGGCCAACATTCAAATTCAGGAAATATGGAGAACACCACAAAACTCCTTGAGAAGAGCAACTCTGAGACACATAATCATCAGATTCACCAAGGATGAAATGAAGGAAACAGTATTAAGGGCAGCCAGAGAGAAAGGTCGGGTTATCCACAAAGGGAAGCCCATCAGACTAACAGTGGATTTCTTTGCAGAAACCTACAAGCCAGAAGAGAGTGGGGGCCAATATTCAACACTCTTAAAAGAATTTTCGACTCAGAATTTCATATTCAGTCAAATTAAGCTTCATAACTGAAGGAGAAATAAAATCCTTCACAGACAAGCAAATACTGAGAGATTTTGTCACCACCAAGCCTACCTTACCAGAGCTCCTGAAGGAAGCACTAAATATGGAAAGAAAAAATCAGTACCAACTACTGCAAAAACACCAAATTGTAAAGACCATCAACACTATGAAGAAACTGCATCAACTAACGGGCAAAACAACCAGCTAGCATCGTTATGACAGAATCAAATTTACACATAACAATATTAACCTTAACTGTAAATGGGCTAAATACCCCAATTAATAGAAACAGACTGGCAAATTTGATAAAGGCTGAAGATTCATCGGTGTGCTCTATTCAGGAAGCCCATTTCATGTGCAAAGGCACACATAGGCTTAAAATAAAGGGATGAAGGAATATTTACCAAGTAAATGATAAGCAAAATAAAAGCGGAGGTTGCAATCCTAGTATCTGATAAAACAGACTTTAAACCAACAAAGATGAAAAAAAAGACAAAGAAGGGCATTACGTAATGGTAAAGGGATCAATGAAGCAAAAAGAGCTAACTAGCCTAAATATATATGCATCCAATACAGGAGCACCCAGATGAGTAAGACAAGTTCTTAGAGACCTACAAAGAGACTTAGAATCCCACATAATAATAATGAGAGACTTTAACACCCCACTGTCAATATTAGACAGATCAACAAGACAGAAAATTAACAAGGATATTCCGGACTTGAATTCAGCTCTGGACCAAGTGGACTTAATAGGCATCTACAGGACTCTCCACCCCAAACCAACAGAATGTACATTCTTCTCAGTACCACATCACACTTATTCTAAAATTGACTACATAATTGGAAGTAAAACACTCCCTAGCAAATACAAAAGAATAGATATCATAACAAACAGTCTCTCAGACCACAGTGCAATCAAATTAGAACTCAGGATTAAGAAACTCACTCAAAACCACAAATGGAAACTGAACAACATGCTCCTAAGTGACTACTGGGTAAATAACAAAATTAAGGCAGAAATAAATAAGATCTTTGAAAACAATGATAACAAAGACACAACGTACCAGAATCTCTGGGACACAGCTAAAGCAGTGTTTAGAGGGAAATTTACAGCACTAAATGCCCACATTGATAAAGTAGAAAAGATTTAAATCGACACTCTAACATCAAAATTAAAAGAACTAGAGAATCAAGAGCAAACAAATTCAAAAGCTAGCAGAAGGCAAGAAATAACTAAGATCAGAGCAGAACTGAAGAAGATAGAGACACAAAAAATCCTTCAAAAAATCAATGAATCCAGGAGCTGTTTTTTTAAAAAAAAGATTAACAAAATAGATAGAATGCTAGCCAGACTAATTGAGAAGAGAGAATAATCAAACAGATGCAATAAAAAATGATAAAGGGGATATCACCACCGACCCCACAGAAATACAAACTACCATCAGAGAATACTATAAATACCTCTATGCAAATAACTAGAAAATATAGAAGAAATGGATAAATTCCTGGACACATATACCCTTCTGAGACTATACCAGGAAGAAGTCAAATCCCTGAATAGACCAATAACAAGTTCTGAAATTGAGGCGGTAATTAATAGCCTACTAACCAAAAAAAGCCCAGGACCAGACAGATTCATAGCTGAATTCTATCAGAGGTACAAAGAGGAGCTGGTACCATTACTTCTGAAACTATTCCAAACAATAGAAAAAGAGGGACTCCTCCCTAACTCATCTTAGAGGCCAACATCATCCTGATAACAAAACCTGGCAGAGACACACACAAAAAAGAAAATTTCAGGCCAACATCCCTGATGCACATTGATGCGAAAATCCTCAATAAAATACTGGCAAACCAAATCCAGCAGCACATTAAAAATCTTATTCACCACAATCAAGTTGGCTTCATCCCTGGGATGCAAAGCTGGTTCAACATACGCGAATCACAAAACATAATTTCTCTCACATAAACAGAACCAACGACAAAAACCACATGATTATCTCAACAGATGCAGAAAAGGTCTTCAATAAAATTAAACACCCCTTCATGCTAAAAACTCTTGATAAACTAGGTATTGATGGAACGTATCTCAAAATAATAAGAGCTATTTTTGACAAACCCACAGCCAATATCATACTGAATGGGCACAAGCTGGAAGCATTCCCTTTGAAAACCGGTACAAAGCAAGGATGTTCCTCTCTCACCACACCTATTCAACATAGTATTGGAAGTTCTGGCCAGGGCGATCAGGCAAGAGGAATAAATAAAGGGTATTCGAATAGGAAGAGAGGAAGTCAAATTTTCTCTGTTTGCAAATGACATGATGGTATATTTAGAAAACCCCATCGTCTCAGCCCAAAATCTCCTTAAGCTGATAAGCAACTTCAGCAAAGTCTCAGGATACAAAATCAATGTACAAAAATCACAAGCATTCCTATACACCAATAACAGACAGAGAGCCAAATCATGAGTGAACTCCCATTCACAATTGCTACAAAGAGAATAAAATACCTAGAAACACAACTTACAGGGATGTGAAGGACCTCTTCA